CGGTGTAGGTCTTGGCTCCCTTCGAGTTCGTGTCCATGCCGGCCTTTGCCAACCGCCGCACGGAAATCAGGTTTGCAGCAAGGGTGGGCACCCAAAGCACGTTCTTGAGGCCCACCATCTTCCCATCAGCACCCTTGAACATGGCCTTGCCCATGCCTTTCACCTCTGCTCGCTGCCCCAAAGCCGATGTGACATGCTTCACCGGTGACGGCTCGAGTTCGGTGAGCAAGTCCGGGCGAGGTGTCATGCTATAGGTAGCGCCACTATCAATCACCCAATAGTCCAGGGGGTGTAGGGTCACCTTCCCCACAGCTGCTGGCTCCTCAAAGCCTTCATCCTTCTCTGGACCAGCCGGTACTTGCGTCGACACGAAGTATAATAGACCCGGGTATCGATCGTCGCTCGGGTCCTTGTCGTTGTCTCCGCTCTTCATGTTTGCAGCTCCGCCACCGCGACCGCCACGGCCTCCACGGCCTCGTCCTCTCCCTCCTCCTGCTCCTCTACCCTCTTGGCCTTGAGCAGGGGTCCAACCATCAGGGAGTTTGTAGCAGTCGCGCCACATGTGTCCGCTCTTGTGGCAATAGTGACACTCGCCGTCGAATCGGCCGCGACCGCGTCCGTAGCTCTTGTCGTCGCTGCCGTAACCGCCACTCCTGCGGCCTCCGCCGAAGTTGCTGCCACCAAACCTTCCTCCCCCTCGTCCTCTGCCTCTTCCTCGACCATATCCACGGCCGATGCTCGCTGCCCCAGCGCCATCCGCACTCGCCAACTCACGGCGGCGGAAATCCTCTTGAAGGATAGCTCGCTTCACGTCTTCAAGCGAGAGGCGGGGCAAGTCGCGATTAAGGTTGATGATGAGCGAGGACCATGACTCTGGGAGTAAGGCCAGCAACTTGGTCTTCTTTTGGAGCTCACTGTAGTTCAAATCAGCTCCCTCAAGCCGCGTCAACAAGTCGAAGAATTTCTGCACCCCTTCTTCAACCGCTTCGTCTTCTTCAATTCGTAGTGCCGCCATTTGCCGTTCCAACACCACCGCTACCGCCGCTGTTGCAGGAGCATGTACACCCTTGAGAGCAGCCCATGCCTTTGGTCCTTTCTCTGGTTCACGCTGGAATGGCTTGATGTGACGGATCTGACTGCTCCCCAACGCTTGCCCAAGTAAGAGATAGCCTTGTGCGCTCTTCCGCACCCACGGGCTCTTCTCCGGGTCGTTCTCGGGGCGCTTCTCCGTTCCTTCCATCACCTCCAGCAGGTCATAGTGGTCAAAGATGTTCTCCATCTTGAAGGACCATTCAGCAAAGTTGTCACCGTTGAGCTTGTCAAGCCCAAACACCCTAGGCTCATCCCTAGGTGGGCCAAGACTTGGTTGCATGGGCGCCATGGCTGAATCACGGGGTTGGCCTTGAGCTTGAGTTTCTCCACTGCCACCAGCACCTCTGCCACCCCTTTCCTCAGGTCCAGACATTGTCGAAACTGCTCCAAGGGGCTCTGATACCACTTGTTATAGTCACAATAGGCTTGAATGTGCCTAAAACGAAAGATAGAGAGCACAGACGGATTTCTGCACAGCGGCTTCAAACGTTGATAGCGTTCTGCTCACAGCTGCAAATGACTTGATTCAAATTGGATCTGGAGCGTCTTCACGTCGTCTACAATTAGCAATTTAGATTGCACGATTTAATAAAGAATTGACGACACAGCGTCGGTTTGAACGAACGGTACTATGGCAGCCACTATAGTCTTAGAACACAAGATAGGAAGAGTTACGAGTTGGGAATGACTCCCAGCTCCTACAAACCCCAAGAGCCGAGGTACAGTGATGTGGAACAGTGCCACACTGTCCCCAACCACGAAGGGTCTCGAAACTACCCTTCACTAGGGCCTACACCAAGTGAAATGTTACACTACACAAAGTAATGTAACTATCTTCAATATCTTGAGGTGTACCCTTTTTGGCGAGCTTCGAAATCACTTGAGGCTTGACACCAAGGCTCGGGCTCTTCATCACAAACTCATCCTTGAGTTCTTGATGGGTCTGCTGCACACACCTGCGACACGCCGAACGTTCGACACAGGACAAAATAGAAACCGCGCACGGCAAAATAGAAACCGCGCGCGAGACACAAACGACCGCGTAACACGCGTCTAGCGATAACTCGCTATTGACTCGACACACACACTCGACATCATGACTCAACATTCACACACAATTATAAGCATGAAATATATATTATCCCATGCCCTCATACCATTCCATACACACACACATTCACGCACACGGACAACAAGCCGAGTGCAAACCGTAGGGTTGCACCAACATTAAATACTGTACGGCGATGTATTGTACTGTCTGTACCGTACTGTACTGCACTGTACCATGAAGGCGTTTCTGAAGGACGGCGTGCATTGAGCTGAGTCAACGAGCGTCCGGCGGAAGGGCGATCGAGCGCGGAATGGGACGAACGAGGAATCCAGCCTGCTGAATCAGATTGGAACAGGAGGGATGAAGCGCCGCGATTGGCGGATATTAAGTCGCGCGTGCATGACCGGCCGTGCAAACGACAACGATCAGGGAGTTCTCTCCCCGACGATCCTCTCTTTTCCCATCCCCATCCTCCGCGCGCTCTCCTTCCTCCTCACCCTCGCCTGTCTCGCCTTCTCCCACCCAATCCACAGCAAATGTCCGTCGGTGGCAGCGCAGAAAGGTTCCAAGAAGGGAATGAGGCACAAAAGGGTGGGGGGGGACTGGCGCGAACAAGAGAAACGGGAGGAGAAGAGAGAAGGGTTGGGGGGAGGGGGAGGAGGGTAGGTCACGTGGCGCTGCTCTAGCAAAGCTCGCGTGAACTGTGGAAGGGTACCTCGTAGTACAGTAACGAGGCTGCAGGGGGGAAGGAACGCACGTGAAACGGAAGCGGTGTTCCCCAGTAGAGCGGGGGCAGGATTCAGCGCACGCTGCATCCGTCCGTCCGTGCACTGCAATAAAAAGCCCAGCGAAGGCTTGTCTCTCGAATTCCGGGGGCTTCTGGAAGGCGTGGCATGGCAGCCAGCATTCTTGCTGCATCGCCGCCTAGCACAGTACATTACAACTCTCTGGGGGTCGCTGCTTCCAGCCAGGGCCGCGCTGCACTATGCTGCGCGTACGTCACCAACCGTACAGTACCGAGCGTGTAACAGTCACCGCAACACTGTACCCAGGGATATCTGCTATCGATTCTATACTGCCCCCAGCTCGGACTGCCCACGCGCGCACCCGCTTATGGAGCTTCGAGGTTCCAACCACTCATCCGCCTTTTCCGGAGGACCTCGGGAACGCCGATTTAGTAGTGTACTGTAGCGGGAAGAAAGGGCTGTAGCACAGTAGCACTTTGGCCCCCCGTGGGCAGCATTTGGCTCCAGCGTTATGATGGTGACTTGTCCGCACGCGCAGCCTGGATGCAGTCACACACATCAGGAACGAACTTGAGAGGTCTAGCTGGCGCTAGTGTGGGAAAGAAACTACTTTCAGACGGCGACAGCGCGTCAAGGCAAGCATGTTGGGCCTATGTCGCGTCAAGATTGAACAAGGGATGCCGCGATCGCGTCTAATTCATAACAGTGATTGGATCGTATCGTAAGCATGGGGTAATGAGGGCGAATCAGCGACGTCCTCGAGGGGAACGAGCGGAAAGCAAGGAACTAAGGGTGCATATGAATCAGCATTTAGGGGTGGCCGAGCGTAGCTGTCTTAGAGTAGAGCTGGAGTGAGGGAGCAGTTAGCAGTGAAAGTAACTGCGGCGAGAGGGGAACGAGTGGGCATGTGGGTGAAAAGCTAGGAGGTTCGAGAAGGATGAGAGAACAGTGGATCATGGATGAGAGGGTGAGTGGAGTGGAGAGGACTGGAGCGTTGAGTGGAGTGGAGTGGAGTGGTGCACATTGCACCAAACTTGCAGGGCCGAGTCGCGTGGCATGCACGTCTCGGAACTTTTGTCGTGATGGGGCTGCAATGGCGGTGACGGACGAGGAAAATCTCTCAAATTGAAAATCCGGTCAGCCACGTTGGCGAAGGTGATGGGGATGACTGGAGGTCTGTCAAGTGAAACTGATATAAATTACGCAATCACAAAGTGCCACCTGGAAATGCCAAGTTCAGGCCTCCGCCCCTTCAGGTTCCGTGAGTCGCCGGTTGTGCAACCGTTTGGTTTGGCGTCAATAGACCCCGTTAGTATGCCAGATCTATTTGCTCATTACTGTACAATAGATTTTGAGACTACATATTCGTATCATTGCATGCATCAAGTCATGCTTCCACTCCATTCAAGCTCCATCTCCAACAATTTCTCCAGTCCCTCATGTTACCATGCATTACATCTGTGAAGGTCAAATAAACCACCAACCCGCTCTAGCTTTTGCCATGCATTGTTTGTACAGTATTATACAGTACAATTAGATGCAAGTGCAGCGTGCCTACCAGTGATAAAACAATTACACTATGTCGCTCAACCCACTAGTATGATTCTTCTAAGATTTCGTCTCACTTGCTGCCTCGTCAATCTGCTGTCTGGGGCACCAAAACATCATCAGGGGTCGAAACAGCCACTGCACCTATTTTGGAACGACCATATGCGGAGGAAGCACTACGCCTCTGCATTCTCCAAACCCAATCATCACACCTTGAGGCAGCTGAGAGAGGGGGAGCAGTGGGCACAGAAGGGAGGAACAACAAGGCCAAATCATGAGAGAGAAAAAAAAGGAGCAAGAACGGGCAGCAATGTCAGGAAGTGGCGATGCCATGAACAGTGGCGAGATTAAAAACGAGGTGACACCAGCAGGCGCTGATAAGAATCACAGAGTGCAAACCACCTGGCAGGTAGCCGTCATGATGACCTCATCCCCAACCTCCAGGTACGTCCGGCGCACAGTCCCCGGACCTAAGCCTTGGTCGGAGGCTTGGGAAGACCCATGAACAACTGTACATCCTCGAGGGGAGAGCTCCAGTGTAAGTTTGCCTGCCTGAGTCCGCTCTAACAGACACCCCTCACTGCCCTCTGCCTGGGACCACAGGGGCAAGGGCAGCGCATGAACATCGGAAGGAATGGGAATGGTGAAGCGGGAAGGACTTCACAGGGCGGGAGATGGTGCTTGAGGGAATCAGGTCCAGTCCTGAGGCGCCCCAAGACAATGCGGTTTGAAGGGCGGGGCGGCACTCAGCAGGGCAGGCAGGAAGGCAGGAAGGCAGTGGGGAGGGCAGGTGACTGACCGGGCCGGAGATGGTGCCCGAGGCAAGCAGGTCGCCTGGGCGCAGGGGGCAGCCGTTGATGGTGTGATGCGCTTAAGAGTCGACTCTAAAGCAGGCAGTGGGGAGGGGCAGGGGCATGGGTGACTGACCGGGCCGGAGATGGTGCCCGAGGCAAGCAGGTCGCCTGGGCGCAGGGGGCAGCCATTGATGGTGTGATGCGCCACCTGCTGCGCCACCGTCCAGTACCTGTGCGGGGAGTTGGGCAGAGGGGGGATGGGGAGAGGAGGAGTGGGTCAGGGAGGAAGATTGGGGGGAAGGGGTACACTTATGGGTCGACTCCAAAGGGGGCAGCCGTTGATGGTGTGATGTGCTACCTGCTGTGCCACCGTCCAGTACCTGTGCGGGTAGTTGGGCAGAGGGGGGCGGAGGAAGAGGAGAAACAACAGGTGAGGGCAGGCGGGCGGTGAAGGGAGGCGAGGCGGATGAGGGTGGGAGAGGCTTGGGCGAAGGCGTTGCCACGTAAAAGAAGCACATGCTCGAGTAACCCAAGCATACACCCATACTTGAGACAGTGCGTGATTTTTGATAATTTTCAAAAATTAAACAAAGCACATGCTCTAGTAACCGAAGCATACACCCATACTTGAGCCAGTGCGTGCCCCCATTTATGCCCCTATGAATGCACCCTTAAGTTCACCCGTTCATGCCCCCATGCGCACAAGAAACTGACAGGTGTTTGAAGTTGCTGCAGCACACAGGGACAGGTGGCAGCCTCGCAACGGCAGCAGTGGATGGAGGAGCGGAGGGAGCAAGGGAGACCTGTGGGGAAGGGATGGCAGAGAGGAGGCAGAAGGGGTGGGGATGGGAGGGGAGGGGAGGAGAGGAGGGAGGTGATGGCGATTGGTGAAAGCAGACTAGGAAGGTTTTGGAACAAGACGAACAGAAAGGGAGAGAGGGTGGGAGGAGGTGGGGGTTGGGTTGGGAGGACCCACGGAAACTACACATAGGAGCAACAGGTGCAGTTTTGAGAAGTACTAATTCTACACGTGGCAATCCACCAGTGGCAGGGAGTCCCTGGTCTGGTGTACAGCAGGGAGTGGATATATCCAATGAAATCCAATCCAGCCAATCCAATCCAATCTACTTCATCGAATCCAATCCAGCACAAACCAATCCAATCCAGCACAATCAATCCACCCACTTCACCCACTGTGTTCCTTCCTTATATCCCAAACAACACCCCAAACAACGCCTCTCCCCCGTCCCCCCCCATTCCCTCTTCAAGCTGTGCTCACCTGTAGTTGAACGTCGAAGGTGAGTGGGTTGGGGTCCTGGAGGTACGGCAGCGGCTCTGGGTCCTGTGCGGTTGGGGGGGGGGTTAGGTAGGGTGGGCAGTTGTTGGTGCGGTAGGGGGAGAGGTGGCAGAGACAGGGGTTATGCAGCAGAGGAGAGCAGGAAAGGAGGAATCACGCTGTACAGGAGTGTTGCTACGTTGAGGAAATCAGGCAAGGGACTAGAGACAAGGGACTAGAGATTTCGCATTTTGAGGGTGAGACACCATATAGCCAACTATACTGAAAGGAAACAACTAGAGAATAGATTGGGAGGAGAAAGTGGTTCGAAAGTGGAGCTGGAAACGACAAGAAGGGCACCTGAGGGGATGGGGAGCAGATGAAGGGACGGAGAGCATCCATGGTGACCACCCAGGGGGATATGGTCGTGGCTGCACGCATTGTATGAGAGGGGGAAAGGGGGACAGAAATAGGTGGAGTTACGACCCAGGTTAATGCACGATGCAAGAATGGATGCATCAGGTGACGGCCCAGGGGGATATGGTGGTGGCTGTGCACATGGCATGCTTGGGGGTGGTGGGGAGATGGGTGGAAATGGGTGGAAATGGGTGGAGTGATGGCCCAGGGTTATGTACAATGCCAAGGGTGAGTATGGATGCATCAGGTGACGACCCAGGCAGGGGGATATGGTGGTGGCTGCCTCGCATGCCAGGTGAGGGGGCGAAATGAGTGGAGCGACGATGACCCACGTTTATTCCCAATGCGACAACGGATAGATGTGTGCGAGAATGGACGGATACGGATACATCCAGCATGTGAGCACAGATGCACCGTGCGGGCATTGATACGTTGCACATGATGTGCGAATGGCACTGCATTTAGCCAATGCATGGCAGCACCACAACCCCTCCCCCTCCTCCCCTCCCCCCCCAACTGACCGAAGTTCTTCCCAAGGAAGGGGCCGAGGGGAACATACTCCCACCGCTGGATGTCCCTCGCTGCACCCAAGGGGGGGAGACGAGCAGGTGTGGGGGGGGGGAGGGTGGACCGTGGAAGGAAGAGAGCTGTGTGAGAGCTGGGTGGGAGCAGGGTTGGTGTCTGAGAAAAGGCTCAGATGCTGCTATGTCCACTGTGCATGACTTGTTGTTACATCTCACCGCTCCAGTCGTTACATCTCATTGCTCCAGCCGCTTCATCTCACCGCTCCAGTCGTTACAGATGACCATGCCAAAGCAGCAGTCCAGTGCTCCCTCCACGGGAATGCTCTCGCCCCTCTCGTTGCCCGGCCCCATCAACACCGCCTGATGCATGTGGGGTGGGGGGCCAAGGGTCGGATGGGCACACGTGGGTGAAGGAGAGTGAAGTGACCCCCCTGCAGTGCACGCACTTCCTCTCTACTCTGCCCTCCAGCTCCCCCTGTGCCACGCCACACTCACCATCTCGAGCTCAAAGTCCTGCTGCTGCGCGGGGCCGAAGAGAGGGGCGAGGGGCGAAGCAGGCAGGCGAGGCAGGCGAGGCAGGCGAGGCAGGCGAGGCAGGCGAGGGCAGACAGGCAGCCCCAACTGACCTCTCTCTAACCACGAAGCCACCCCACTCTGCCACGACTCACCCACTCACCATCTCGAGCTCAAAGTCCAGCTGCTGCGTGGGGCCGAAGGAAGGGGCGAGGGGTGTGGTGGGGGTCGAAGCTGGCAGCCCCAACTGACCCCTGTCAGGGGAATGGAGGCGAGATGAGGCGTTGTGGAGGGGTGTAAGGGAGGGTGATGGAGGGGCAGCCGAGGGGTGGAGGAGGGAGGATGGAGGGTGGACAGAGAGAAAGGCAGACTCGTTTTTTCGTAGAGTGGAGGAGACAGATGCAATGCAGCAATTGAATTGTTGAGGAGGTTTTTTGCTATTCAACCATGAGCTGCTGAAGATGAGACAGAGCACCATCAGAGCACAAAAAACTTGTGCGTCATGAAACTTGTGGTTTCAATCTGTTGCTGTTCCACCTGAACCACTGTGGTTACTACCTCGGGTACAGTGATTTTCACCTGAGCCGCTGTGGTTCTCACCTGGGTCGCACGATGGGAGTGCCGGAGACCACAACAGACGACGACCTGCCATGGTATGCAATGGGCATGTGCAACCTGGTGGGCCATGCCATGCCATGCCATGCCATGCCATGCCATGCCATGCGATCCAATGTAATCCCACAACAAGCCATACAACACCATAGCACAACATGGCACGGCATCACATGCAGAGGCAAGGTTAGGCATGGGGGCGAAGGTGGAATGGAGAGAACATGGACGACTGTGGATGTTGAGGTGACTGGACTGGAGTCCCACCCATCCAGCACCACTCTGCACCCCACCCTTCCACCATTTTCCACTCCCCTGCCATCAATCGCCAGTGTGCTGCCAACCAACTCAGTGAACTCACGCCCTCTCCCCTCCCCGAACCCCCCTCTGTCCGCCCATACCCCTCCACCTTTTTCCGCCCTCTTCCCCCTAATGCGCACCCTTCTCCCCCCCTTTCCCACCACTGCTTGGGCAGCTCATTACCAGGCCCACGGAAGAGGCGGCCCACGTTGGTGGCGTGGTGGCCCTGGTGACCTCTTTCTTTCTCCCCCTCCTTCCCCCTCCCCCCTGACGCTACCACTACACCTCACCACTGGGGGGGTAAGAAGCATAGCAGCAGCAGCTGCAGCAGCAGAGGAAGGCTATTACGACGGCAGTGCTTCAGCCAAGTCCAAGAGTGCCTCTGGGGGTGCTGCTGGCGGTGGCGGTGCGTTCTCCGACAGTGGAATCCTGGCTCTCATCTCGGGCAAATTCGGCTCCTCTGCAGCAGGTCAGTCAGTGCAGCATTCTTCTTATTCATTCTGCATTTTTTTTTTTTTTTTCTAATTATTACAAACCGGCCTCTTCGGAGCGCACATCTTCTCCCTCACAGAGCTCCACACTCTGTCCCTTTAACCCCCTTTCCCCTCCCTCCCCCCTGTCTTCCTCTCCCCATCACACCAGACGACAAGCACAAGGCGTTCAAGAATCTAGATGCCGAAGCCACAGCCAAAACCGGCCTGCTCATAGCGCGCATATTCACCCTCCTCCGTGTGTGCCTACTCTGCCCCTCCCCTTCCCTTCCTCTCTCCACCTCCCCTTCCTCTTGATAATAACCAGACGACAAGTTCAAGGCATTCAAGAATCTCGACGCAGATGCTACGGCCAAAACCGGCCTCTTCGGAGCGCGCATCTTCTCCCTCGCTGAGCTCCGCCGAGCCACCGAGGATTTCGCCAATTCTTGAGCCGACCTTCGGAGCCTCAAGCACCGTCTTTCCCTTGCTCTGCTCTGCTCATCCTATTTCCCCCCCACCTCCTGCTCTGCTCTTCCCGCTCCCCCTCCCCCTCCCCCTCCACACCTCCCCTCCCCTCCTAACGCACCAGACGTCAAGCACAAGGCGTTCAAGAATCTGGATGCCGAAGCCACAGCCAAGACCGGCCTCTTTGGAGCGCGCATCTTCTCCCTCGCTGAGCTCCATGCATATTCACTCTCTCCCCCTCCCCTCCCAACACACACCAGACGACAAGCACAAGGCGTTCAAGAATCTGGATGCCGAAGCCACAGCCAAGACCGGCCTCTTTGGAGCGCGCATCTTCTCCCTCGCTGAGCTCCATGCATATTCACTCTCTCCCCCTCCCCTCCCAACACACACCAGACGACAAGCACAAGGCGTTCAAGAATCTGGATGCCGAAGCCACAGCCAAGACCGGCCTCTTTGGAGCGCGCATCTTCTCCCTCGCTGAGCTCCATCTATGCTTGCTCTGCCCCTCTCCCCACCAGACGACAAGCACAAGGCGTTCAAGAATCTGGACGCTGAAGCCACAGCAAAAACCGGTCTCTTTGGAGCGCGCATCTTCTCTCTGGCTGAGCTTCGCCGAGCCACCGAGGATTTCGCCTCGGGGAACCTCATCGGGCAGGGCGGGTTCGGGAAGGTCTACCGAGCCACGCTCGGAGGCTCGGCAGGCGACGGCGGCGGCGACTCCGCAGGCTCGGCGCCCGCCGTGCCTGGGTTCGAGGTCGCTGTGAAGAGGCTCGGGTCCGGGTCGCAGCAGGGGGCTTCTGAGTTTCTGACTGAGGTGCAGCTGCTGAGCCGGCTGCATCATAAGAATTTGGTCAACCTGATAGGGTACTGTGATGAGGACCCGAATCAGCTCATCCTGGTGTATGAATATGCTCCTAACGGCACCCTCAAGGATTACCTCAGAGGTGCGTGTGTGCGTGTGTGGTATTGCTGTCAAATTCTTCTGAGTTTCTGACTCAAGTGCAGCTGTTGAGCCGGCTGCACTTGTGAGTCGACTCAAAGTCAGCTGCTGAGCCGGCTGGTTTGAGTCGACTCAGAGCGGGTCGCAGCAGGGGGCTTCTGAGTTTCTGACTGAGGTGCAGCTGCTGAGCCGGCTGCATCATAAGAACCTCGTGAACCTGATTGGGTACTGTGATGAGGACCCCAACCAGCTCATCCTGGTGTATGAATATGCTCCTAACGGCACCCTCAAGGATTATCTCAGAGGTACGTTTGTGCGTGTGCGGTATTGCTGCTGTCAAATTCTTTGAGTTTCTGACTGAAGTGCAGCTGCTGAGCCAGCTGCACTTGTGAGTCGACTCAAAGGCAGCTGCAGCCTGCTGTATCATAAGAATTTGGTGAACCTGACTGGGTACTGTGATGAGGACCCGAATCAGCTCATCCTGGTGTATGAATATGCTCCCAACGGCACTCTAAAGGACTACCTCCGAGGTACGTTTGTGGTGGTGGGATTCTCTCTCTTTCTGTGCTTGTGATCTGGGTTGAGGGGCCTTCTGAGCTTCTGAGCTTCTGACTGAAGTGCAGCTGCTGAGCCGGCTGCATCATAAGAACCTGGTAGGGTACTGTGATCAGGACCCCAATCAGCTCATCCTGGTGTATGAATATGCTCCCAAAGGATTATCTGAGAGGTGAGTGTGTGGTGGCTGCTCTATTGATTCGTGCACGGGTCCTTCAAAACAGCTGATTTTGGTGATTAATGCCTCCTTCCCTCCGCCTCCCTCAACCAATTCTCTTCGTGCCCCCTTCTCTTACTCCCCTCTACCGACACACACACACTCTCCTGACAGACGTGGTGCGCGTGAAGTCCCTCTCCTGGGAGCGCCGCCTGCGCATCGCCACCACGTCCGCCAAGGGCATTGAGTACCTGCACAACGGGGCCTCTCCCTCCGTCATCCACCGGTGAGTAGAGTGGAGTCGCATCAAGGCATGGCATTGGTAGCTTGGTAGGTGGCACTCACTGGATCGCTCTCGTGGGAGCGCCGCCTGCGCATCGCCACCACGTCCGCCAAGGGCATTGAGTACCTGCACAACGGGGCCTCTCCCTCCGTCATCCACCGGTGAGTTTTAGCATCTGAAGGTAAAATGGGAACAGGCTCTTGAATGTGTCGCCTGCGCATCGCCACCACCTCAGCCAAGGGCATTGAGTACCTTCACAATGGGGCGTCTCCCTCTGTTATCCACCGGTGAGCCTCTTATGACCAACCATCATTCCTTGGTCATTCCTCGGTAGTTGTGCCGTGCCAGCTTTTTCCTCGACTGTGCGTTCGATCAACGGCAAAGTCGCTGGCGTTGGTCATTCCAAGCTCTGAGCTGGGAAAGAGAGGGGAAAAGGTGCCCTTTTCCCCTCTCTGCAACCCCTATCCAGCTCATCTCAACCCACCTCAACCCTTTCAAACCCCTCGCAGTGACATCAAGACGTCCAACATTCTCCTCGACTATGCGTTCAACGCCAAGGTCGCCGATTTCGGTCTCTCCAAGCTAAGCAAAAAGGAAGCGCCTCTTTCCCTCTCCCTGTGCCTTCCTTGCTTACTCCAACCCTATTCAACCCAACCGAACCCCTCTGCACCCCTCGCAGTGACATCAAGACGTCCAACATTCTTCTCGACTATGCCTTCAACGCCAAGGTCGCTGATTTCGGTCTCTCCAAGCTCGGCAAGAAGACCCCTGCCGCCATGGCAATGGGCGTGGAGGAGAAATCAGCCATGAGCCACATCAGCACACGCGTCAAGGGCACCCTCGGTGAGTTGTTATATTATCCCTCTCTTCTTTTTTTCCCCTTCCTACACCCCACGTACTACACAAAACGATTCTCTATCCCCATGCGGTTGTCCTCTTACTGAATTCTAAGTAGCCAATCCTTTGTTCCCTTCCCCTCCCCCCTTCCCCCCTACAAACACCAGGCTACCTGGACCCCATGTACTACACGAAGAAGCACCTCACCGATAAGAGCGACGTGTTCAGCTTCGGAGTGGTGCTGCTGGAGCTGCTGCCCATCCGTGCACCGCTCTTCACCGCTCTCCACCACTCTTCTCTCCCCCCAACCCCCCCACCCCCCCCACCAGGCTACCTGGACCCCATGTACTACACGAAGCAGCACCTGACGGATAAGAGCGACGTGTTCAGCTTCGGAGTGGTGCTGCTGGAGCTGCTCACAGGCCGCCTGCCCATCTGGCAGGAGGACGATGCTTCCGGGCTTCAGAACGGAGGGGAGAGCTTGATTAACCTCGTGGAATGGGTGAGTCCTCTCCTCTCTGTCTGGTAGTGCGTGGGTGGGTATGGGCGAGTGGTGCAGTGGCTCAGGCGAGGTGCTGCTGGAGCTGCTCACAGGCCGCCTGCCCATCTGGCAGGAGGACGATGCTTCCGGGCTGCAGAATGGAGGAGAGAGCTTGATTAACCTGGTCGAATGGGTGAGTGGGTGGGAAATGGTAAGGGAGTGACAAAGCCGTTAGATCCACCGTATTGTGGCCCCTGTATTGCTACAGCCGCTACATCCACCGTACTGTGGCCCCTTGCTTGACGTGAATCCACATGTGCGTTCACCTGTAACCCTGCTACCTTACAACACCCCTCCCACCCCTTTCCCCCCACCCCTTGTCCCCTACCAACACCTACAGACGGAGCCGTTTCTCAAGTCGGGTCAGATCCGTCCCATAGTGGCGCCCACTCTCGACGTGGACCGGCACATGCAGAGCCTCATGAAGGTCGCTGACCTCGCCTACCGCTGCGTGCGCACGCAGCCCAAGAGCCGCCCCGCCATGGCCGAGGTGGTCCGCGTTCTCGCAGAGGCCAAGGCCCTGCTTGATGCCGAGGGTCCCACTCCCGCCTCCTCTGCTCTCCCGCTCCCCACCCCCTCTGCTGCTGCTGCTGCCGCCTCGATTTCTTCCGGTGCTGGTTCTGCTGGTGGTTCTGCTGCTGGTGCTGGGAATTCTCTGCTCGAGTCTTCCCTGAAAGTGGGGGATGGGGAGTCGGCGTTGCTGATGGATGAGGCTGGGGATGCTTTTGTACCCCCCCATGCTTCTGTCTCTGCTGCTGCTGCGGCTGCGGTGGGATCAGGTGGTGCGGGGGACTATGCGAATCCGTTCTCGATTAGTGTCATTTCGGAGTGACTGGAGCTGACTATGGAGGATGAGTAGGAGAAGGATGGAGACCAAGAGAGGTTAATTTATAATTTGTTGTGATTGTGTTGTGTTCATAAAAGCTGCAATGGTTCGGTTGGATGGAGCAAGGGATTGTTGGCAATTAGGGCGAGATGCAGCTAGTGGTGTGTTTGTTTTATGTCTAATGATTGTCCATTGTTAATGAATGCGTAATGTATCCATTGTTGATTATTATCCGTAACAGCACTGGGCGGGAACAAGAGTAATTTGAAATTTGCGAGCATGAGTAATGTTTCAAATTTCAAATTTACACTAAATTTAGGCGTAGCAACATAAATTTGAGAATTGACACATTCTGGCAATTACTGACCTGAGGAGAATGTAGCATTATTGGCGTGCAGAAAAAGATTTCGCCACGACGGAATTATTGCTCATTGAGAAGCGCCGCCAGACACGGCGCTTGCACGCACAACACACCGAAATTACTGTACTGACGAAGCGACAAGATGAGAAAATGTGCCCCAGGCGAAGTCATGGAGGTGCGTTTGACGATGTAACGAAAGGTGATGTGACGAAGAAGCCCAAGCGAAGTTACACGTGCATTATTGTACACTTCTACTCGAATCGCTATGGTCTTCACGGCCCCGCCGACAGCTCGCTCTTCCCTAGAGGAGTCAATTTTGAGATTTGACTGGAAAACGGACTCAAAACACATAACACAAGCCACCCTCCCAGAACAGCAGCGCGTGTTTGACAAGCGAAACTATTATCAGACCCCACCTCATAAACCGTTACTGTATTCTTGCAGCGAAGCCAGTGAGGGCGACTTATCAAACCGGTGCAGCGCAGATAGCTCGCTCGTCCTTTAGCTCGCGCAGATAGCTTGCGCCAGCTGGTCCAGATTTCACGCCATCATTCGTTGGTAGTTACGTTGTCCGTACCTGTTTTTTTTTTTTTTTTTTTACTAAAACTGGTCATCTTCATCGTTCGCAATGGCGGGAAGTCATTATGACTTCGCCGCGTCGGACCTGCATCATCTCCTCTTTGAGCGCCTTCTCGGCGAAGAAAGCGGCGGCGGCGGCGGAGGCGGAGGCGATGAGAAGAAGACAAGCGGCCTGTATAACTACATGGTTTACTCGCCGAGCTACTACATCGCTACAGTGACCGCCTTAATTGTCATCGTCTCACTGCTCTGTTGGAGATTGAGTGTGTTGCAAACAAGTGGTGGTGGGGCGGTTGTATGCCCCCAACCCACCGAATGTGTTTCGGTGCTCACCGCTTGAGAGAGCTGCAGGTTTCACGAAGTGTGTGGGTTGACTTCGGAAGACCCACTCAATTGGTGCCACATGGCAACACAAGAAGGATCGAGACTAAGGAAGAATTCGGTTCGGTGAAATTCGGGTGCCGAATTTCACCCCTTCGAATTGTTACGCGAATGTTCTCGGTGCATCTCGTATGTTACATGCGCGACTCGATGTTTTGAGTAGCTATATATTGTGATTGCTTTGTATGCATGATATACTGAAAATCAGAGTTTTCTATACACAGTTCAACTCGACACAAAATCCAGAGACTTTCTATCCTTCAATCTTAGAGCACTACCTAGCACGTTGAAAGCCGTATCTCAGCCGATACTTGGGCGAATTACGTGTTCTACGGCTCCTTGGAAAGCCAAGAGTATGCTCTACTGCTTAGAACAATTCCTAGTTCCTGCCAACTAGAGGACACGCCTCTACATCAGTGGTATCAGAGCTGGTCGGAGGAGTCTACGCGCGCGACAAGGAGCAAGCATGATGACGTCAAGCGAGGCCTCCCGCACTTCCTTGGATGGTGTCGTTGTAAATACCGGCGAACCCTGGGCAACCGCGACGATGTTCGACACGTCGGCGGTACCGATTTTCACGGGACAAAATTACTCCGCGTGGAAGTTGAAGTTCCAAGTGCTCATGATGGAGCGGGGACTTTGGGGATTCTTCGATGGAACGGAGAAGAAGCCGGACGACGAGAGCGACATCGCGGCATGGAAGAAGAAGGACCAAAAGGCGTTCGCTACGTTGATTTCGCGCATCGGCATCAATCTCGTGAGCTCGGTGCGCATGTGCATCAAGCTCGAAGCGTCGGCGCATGAAGCGTGGAAGCGGCTCGAGACCATCCACGTGAACAAGACTCTCCACGGCAAGATCTTAGCCCGGAATGCGTTCTACACGGTGAAGATGCGCGCGGGCGAATCGATGCACGAGTATGCGACTCGTGTGGAGGAACTCGGGGAATCGTTCATGGACCTCGGTGGAACGGTCACGGAGGAGGATTGGATTCTCACCTCGAGGCCGATGATTCAAAGGAGTCGCTCGTGTTAGTGGCCGGCAAGGGGAACAAAACTCCAAGCGACGCGTGGTTCCTCGATACCGGCGCAACGCAACACATGACGCACTCGGCGTCGCTCCTCAACAACATTGGCGCTCCGGGAGACGTCACGAGCATCGTGTTCGGAAACAACGAATCTCTACCGGTGGTTGGAGTTGGGAGTACGCACCTCATCGTTGATAGCGGACCGGTGGACGTCACGAACGTGCTTCACGTCCCGGGGGTGAAGGTGAACCTTCTATCCGTCCCGCAACTGGCGAAGAAGGGCGTGATCGCCACCATCGACGGTGCGAAGATGAACCTCTTTTGGAAGGGGGAGCAATTCGCGCAAGGGGTTCTCAATGGAGATATCTACCAACTCAAGACGTACCCAAGAGTGGCTTCATCGAACGTGGCGCAAGGCTCCAAGGCAACTCTTAAGGCGTGGCATAATCGACTTGCGCACGCCAATTACGACTCGGTCAAGGAGTTGGCCAACAAAGGACTTGCGAAGGAACTTGACGTGATTGCCGGCGACGACGAGAAAGGCGTGTGCGCGGCGTGTGTCGAAGGAAAAATGGCTCGCAAGCCATTTGGTAGCCGAACGTCACCCCTCGCTAAGGACCCGCTTGCGCTTGTTCACATGGACGTGTGTGGACCGATGAGGCATGCATCAAAGGGAGGAGCGCGGTTCCTCTTGGTGATGCTCGACGACGCGACGCGGATGTGTTGGACCCGACTCTTGAAGGCTAAGGGAGATGCGGCCAAGGCGATTCAAGAATGGGCGCTCGATGTTTGCGACGACGACAAGAAGCGGATCAAGTGTATTCGTACCGACGGTGGCGGCGAATTCGTGAACGCGGAGCTTGAGAAATGGATGAAGAGCAAGGGCATAAAGCCCGACGTCACAACGCCCTACACACCCCAACAAAATGGAGCGGTGGAGCGGCTTAATCGTACGTTGGTGGAGGCCGTTCGTTCACTTCTTCAACACTCCAAGATTGGAAACGAGTGGTGGGGAGAGGCGAGTGCGCTAGCGGCATGGATTCGTAATCGTGTGCCGACAAAGGTGCTACCGGGAATGACTCCGTTTGAAGCATGGAGCGGAACGAAGCCGAACCTATCCCGCCTTCGCACCTTTGGGTGCCTTTGCTACTACCATGTACCGGATCCTCTTCGCCACAAGTTGCAACCGAAAGCTCGTGCGGCGATCTTCTTGGGAGTTGCGCCAAACGAGCGTGCATGGCGAGTGTGGGACTTGGGTGAAAAACGCGTTGTCACGTCTCGGGATGTGGTCTTCGACGAAGACAAGTTTCCGGCGAAGGAGAAACCAACTCAACAAGTCACCTTCATCCTTCCGGCACGAGAGGAGGTTGAAGAAAGTGAGGTTCTACCTCAAGTGGAGAAGGAAGCCGATGGAGGGGGAGAGAACGACGAGGAAAGCGTTGATGATGTCGTGGAGGTGCCACCAACCGAGGCGGCAACTACCTCCAAACCTTCCTCCCTACCATTGGCCTTGACCCGCGAGCGTCGTGAGGTTCGTCCTCCCTCCAAGTACAACGACTACGCTACGGTAGCCATTGAGGAGACGGATAAGGAGGACGTGGCATATTGCTTCGCGACCAAGGGTGGTGATGAACACGCGGAATCTCTCATGGAACCACCCCCTAAAGATCCATCCCGTGCGTGCTACAAGCATGATGGATTACACACCTAGTGGGTTGGGTGCAAGGGGGAGTGTTGGAGATTGAGTGTGTTGCAAACAAGTGGTGGTGGGGCGGTTGTATGCCCCCAACCCACCGAATGTGTTTCGGTGCTCACCGCTTGAGAGAGCTGCAGGTTTCACGAAATGTGTGGGTTGACTTCGGAAGACCCACTCAATTGGTGCCACATGGCAACACAAGAAGGATCGAGACTAAGGAAGAATTCGGTTCGGTGAAATTCGGGTGCCGAATTTCACCCCTTCGAATTGTTACGCGAATGTTCTCGATGCATCTCGTATGTTACATGCGCGACTCGATGTTTTGAGTAGCTATATATTGTGATTGCTTTGTATGCATGATATACTGAAAATCAGAGTTTTCTATACACAGTTCAACTCGACACAAAATCCAGAGACTTTCTATCCTTCAATCTTAGAGCACTACCTAGCACGTTGAAAGCCGTATCTCAGCCGATACTTGGGCGAATTACGTGTTCTACGGCTCCTTGGAAAGCCAAGAGTGTGCTCTACTGCTTAGAACAATTCCTAGTTCCTGCCAACTAGAGGACACGCCTCTACATCATGCTCTTCGAGAAAATCATCCACGTCATCCACCATGTAAGCGTCCTAAACTTTTGAGACGTCTAAAAAGTCATCCACGTCATCCACCATGTACGTTTGCTGGTCTTCAAAATGGTTTTGTCTGTCTTTCTTTCTTGCCTTTCTTGGCTTTTCTAATTCAAGTATAATAAAGCAGTCTGTAACGCGTCACGCACATTTGTCTATTGTGCGCAGTGGTTTGGTCACAGGAAAAATAAGGCCCTCGTGCACGTGGTCGACCGCATTAAAGACGGTAAGAAATAAGGATTTTTCTGAACAATGTCAACAAGGATATTGTTTCTCCTCTTAGGGAGAAAACAATTTCAACGAGGATCGAAACTGACACCTGTCCACTTTCTCACCTTTTCCCTCTTTTTCCTCCTTTCGTGATTTTCCCAGAGCTTATGGTCGCCGGATTCCTCTCCATCGTTCTCGCGTTGATTAATCCGCTTCTCGCCGGGTGGTGCGTTCCAGTCGCGAGGGACACTATTCTTATTCCGTGCAAACCGCCAGAAATCCCTTATTATTCTCCATCTCCACCGCCCGTACCTGCCAGTACAACTGCAAACTACACGGACAAAGGTTTCCCATGGGTTCAAGCAAATAAGAGTGAGGTTATTCCGAACGGCGGAAATGGCACGACATTCTCGACAATCGTCAAAACCGAGGAGTTCGCGAACGGAACTGGGGTCGAGATTCGCGAAACTACGATCACGTTTCGTAACGGGATGACGATGAAAACGTCGGCGAAATTTGTGCTTGTCGGCAACGAAACGGGAGCTGTTACGAACAACACTAACCCGACAACATCAGATGGAAGTACAAACACACCAATACAGGGAGAGTTGTTTCCGCATATTGATTCTTCAAACGACGACAACAACGGCCACGAAAGAGGTCTTTTGGCGTCTACACCACATAAAAACAGTGAGGTTTCATCCAGTGGCATAGGGAATCAAATTCGTCGGTTGATCCTGGATTGGGAACGACAAAAAGACCAGGAGCAGCATAAGCGGCATCTATTGGAAGGAGACTGGGATTGGGAGCATGGAAGCAGGTTCGTCCACCATGGGCGAAGGAAGCTGGCGAGTTTCCCGAACGAATGTCCAGCTGTGAGTGTCGATACATGCCATTTCCACCTCCTCTGGCTGTAGTACCCTTTAGTTGCTATATTTTTCCCTTTCATTTTTCGTTGTTTATTAAATCTTGTAGCATTAATTTCTTGTTCTTGCCTGTATCGAATCACTCTGTATGTGGTTGCAGGGCCAGGAGCCGCTCATGTCGCCAGCAGCCATCCACCAATTGCATCTCTTCATCTTCTTCCTCGTTGCTGGTCACATCGTCTACACCTGCATCACCATTGTCATCGCGCGTGCCAAGGTACACCTTCTCTTCATATCCTTCACATATAAATTATATCTCAAGAACTTTCTTAGAGGTTAGTTCTCACATCGTCTACACCTGCATCACCATTGTCATCGCCCATGCCAAGGTACACCTTCTCTTCATATCCTTCACATATAAATTATATCTCAAGAACTTTCTTAGAGGTTAGTTCTCACATCGTCTACACCTGCATCACCATTGTCATCACCCGTGCCCCATTTAAACTCCCCTCACCTTACGTGTTTACACTCTAAACGACAACTATACACTCTAAACGAAAACTATATTTCCAACAAGTCTTGTGGTCACATCATCTACACCTGCATCACCATTGTAATTGCCCGTGCAAGAGTATACTCCTGTCCTCTCACCCTGTGTCCGTGTCAGCTACTTTTCCCTGTATCCATCCGTGCTCTTACCACCCCCCCCACCACCCCCACCCCCACGCTCTCCTTCCACCCACTCCGCTCGCAGGTATCCACATGGCACAGGTGGGAGAACAAGCGCCAAGAGAAGATGAAGCAAAGGAAGGTCATATTTATGCCTTGTCTCCCCACCCTCCCCTCCCTCTCCCTCACCCCCACCCACCCACCCACTCCGCTCGCAGGTATCCACGTGGCACAGGTGGGAGAACAAGCGCTAAGAGAAGAAGCAAAGGAAGGTCATATTTATGCCTTGTCTCCCCACCCTCCCCTCCCTCTCCCTCACCCCCACCCACCCACCCACTCCGCTCGCAGGTATCCACGTGGCACAGGTGGGAGAACAAGTGCCAGGAGAAGATGAAGCAAAGGAAGGGCGCGGTATCAGGTCAGCTCACCCGCGCGCTGCAAGACCGGAGCTTCATTCTCCGCCACACAGGACCCCTCGCCAGCTTTCGCCGCCGCGTGGCAGCTGACGTGGCACCTGACGTGGCAGATGCCGGTTCCAGCTCAGCAGGTGGCAGATATGACGTGGAGCAGCCCCCTCCCGGCGTGGGGCAGGAGCCGGAGCTGGCGAGAACCTTCCAGGAAATTGTCAAGGAAGGGGAAGAGGCGAAAGCCCAGGGGAGTCAGGAGCAGCAGGTTCGGGAGCAGGCTCGGGCACAGGAGGCTCGGGAGCCGGCTCGGCGAAGCTCGAAGTTGCAAGTTCACTATAGCGATGAAGATGACGTGGCAGAGGAGGAAGAGCCGGAGCATTTCACGTGGATAGGGGAGGAGGAGGAGGGGGATGACCTGGATACGGTGTATGAGGACGAGGAGGAGAGAGAGGAGGAGGAGAAGAAGGAGAAGGAATGGAGGAGGGAGAAGGGGATGAAGGAGGGGGAGGCAGGGGAGAAGGGGAAAAAGCGGCTGACTCGCATGGCAACAATGGCGCGGAAAGAGGCGAGCACTGAGCTGACCGTGTGGCAGTCTTTGGTGCTCACAGTGGTGCTTTGGAGTGGGGAATGGGTGGAAATAGGGAGCAGGGGCTTTTAGAGGTGTTGAGTGGGTTGCAGAGTGGTACCTGGAGAGGAAAGAGGCGAGCACTGAGCTGACCGTGTGGCAGTCGTTGGTGCTCACAGTGGTGCGTTGGGGGGAATGGGTGGAAATAGGGAGCAGGGGCTTTTAGAGGTGTTGAGTGGGTTGCAGAGTGGTACCTGGAGAGGAGAGAAGCGAGCACTGAGCTGATCGTGTCGCAGTCGTTGGTGCTCACAGTGGTGGGCGTTGGGGTGGGGGATTGTCAAGGGGAGGGCGTGGTTGGGTAAGGGGATTACTGGGCAAATAACAATGTAAGGGGATTAGTAGGCTCTCAACCTTCCCCTCCTTCTCCCTTCTCCCTTCCACGTACGCCCTTCCCCGTTCTCCTCTCTGCCAATGCTCTGGCTCCCTTCTCATGCACCCATGTCCTGCCCTACCCCACCCCATGCTGACTTGTGAGACGTCTCAAAAGCCAACTCTCCCTTTCACACGTACGCCCTTCCCCATTCTCCTCTCTCCCTCTAGCTCCCTTCTCATGCATCTGTGTCCTGCCCAAAATCACCCCAAACCCCACAGCAATGCTTTTTTCAACAGCTGTTCAACCCCATCACCCGGTCTGACTACTACACTCTTCGACTTGCATTCATTCACGTGAGTAATATAATACTATTACTATATTACTATTATTAAGACTACTATAATTACTATATCAATGTTATTGTTATTGTTAGTAGATTTGGTTTGTTTTTCCTACTTCCTTCAGGTTGTACACAGTTTAGCGCATCTCGGCTTGCTGTGTGATCCGTTATCAAGCACTGATGCTGTGCTGTTCCTCCCTTGGCGACTTTCTCTCTTTCTACACTATCAGAATCAAGCACCACTCGCTCCCCAACTTTCCTCCCCAACTTTCCTCCCCAACTTTCCTCCCCAACTTTCCTCCCCACCTTTCCTCCCCACCTTTCCTCCCCACCTTTCCTCCCCACCTTTCCTCCCAATCTTTCAGAATCAGGACCTTCCTCGCAACTTCGATTTCTACCACTATGTGGTTGGCTCCCTAGAGAAGGACTTTGTGCACATCGTCGGCCTCAGGTGAATGCTCAGGTGTTTTCAACAGATGCTTGGTTGGTGGCCTAGAGAACGACTTCATCCTCATCGTCGGCATCAGGTGTTTTCGCTAATTGCATGGTCGATAGCCCAGAGATGGGAGTTTTGTTTGCATAATCGTGCACAGGTGAAATCTCAGGTGTACTTTCACATATTTCTACTCAGGTAACGACTCTGGTTTTTAAACATAGTGTTTCTGTTCCTGTCTGTTTTTTCTCATCCATACCCCCCCTCTCCCTCCCTTCCTCCAATATCTCCTCCCATCTCTTTCCAAACCCCCTCAACCCCTTCCCTCTGCTACCCAGCTTGCCTCTGTGGATCACTCTCATTATTGTCATATGCATCACAAGCTACAGTAAGTCACTCCTTTCTACTGTATTTACAGGGCGGAATGAATGCACAGGATGTGTCCCTTCGTCACTGGCTCCCTTCTCATGGCAATCAGTTTTCTGATTTTGTTAGATATTGCTTCTTTTCCTACCGTCCCTGCGGTTCTGTTAAACAGATATGGATATATATATTTATATATATGTATGTATACATGTCAATATCCCCTTATTTCTTACTTCGCACTTTATCACCCCCTCTCGCCCCTCATCACTCTTACTCACTCTCTCTGATGCATAGTGGGATATCTCCTTCATCTTTGCCGTTCTCGGCCTCCTGGTGAGAACATCCTTGTTATAAAGAAACTCTTGTAACACATGCTCGTTCAAGCACATATCGTTTTATTTTTTTACTGCCTGTTAGATGCACAGACTCCCAAGTGCATACTGTCATCAATTGCACATGTCCTGTTAGCATGCACATGCCTGTGCAGAGGCTGCGTAACATCGCATACGTATGCAAGCCTAAAACCATTTGTTACGAACCTACATTTTAACTTATATATACTTGTTTACTGTACATGTATATACAGATCGCTCTAGCAGTGGGAACGAATCTGGAGTACATCGTATCGCTGCTGGCTCTAGAGAGCGCGCATGTGACTGGGAACTGCGAGGGATGCCACTTAAAGCCCCGAGGCTCTCTCTTCTGGTTCAAGCGACCGTCCTTCATGCTAGGCTTACTGCACTTCGCACTCTTCATTGTAAGCAACTCCCTTATAGTGAGTTTAACAGCTTCTGGTACTCTCTGTTGTCAGCGAGATGGTTAGGAATTGGCGTGAGCCGGAAGCTTACGGTGCCTCTTTTAGTTTAGAGCTTCAGTGGCCCCTTTTTATGTTGCACATGCTGCACTTTGCACTTTTCAGTCGATTCTAGCTTGTATGGTGGACATCTTAACCCTCTGGTTTGAAATTCACCCCCTTGTCTCTTTATCTCCTCTCTTCCCTCCAAACCGTTGACTGTACATCTGTACATTTGCCCATTTGCAGAGCTCGTACATGATCGGCAATCTCGTAGTTTATTATGTGAGTAGCACCCCAACGGCCACAAGGTAAAAATGAGTGTCAAGCACACTAGTGCTTCCAGGTAGAAAGACGCGTCAATCAATTCACTGTACTTTCCCATGCAGAGCTCGTACATGATCGGCAACCTCGTCGTTTACTATGTGAGTCGCACCCCAACCCAACCACGACGTGTGAATGTACCAAGGAGTGTACAGCCACATTCACTATGCTTCACATCACGGTGCCTCACATGCAGAGCTCGTACTTGATCGGCAGCCTCGTCGTTTACTATGTGAGTAGCACCCCAACGGTCACAAGGTGTAGGAGTGTGTTAGGTGTTTAAGAGTAGACTCAAGAACAGCCTCAACGGCCACAACACGGTAGATTAGTGTTGTGACTTTTGAGTCGACTCAAAAGGCACTCCCATCGGCCACAAGGTAAAAGAGTGTGGGAGGTGTTTCTGAGTCCACTCAAAAGGCACTCCCATCGGCCACAAGGTAAAAGAGTGTGGGAGGTGTTTCTGAGTCCACTCAAAAGGCACTCCCAACGGCCGCAAGGTAAAAGAGTGTGGGAGGTGTTTCTGAGTCCACTCAAAAGGCACTCCCAACGGCCGCAAGGTAAAAGAGTGTGGGAGGTGCTTCTGAGTCCACTCAAAAGGCACTCCCATCGGCCGCAAGGTAAAAGAGTGTGGGAGGTGTTTCTGGCCACAAGGTAAAAGAGTGTGGGAGGCGTTTCTGAGTCCACTCAAAAGGCACTCCCAACGGCCACAAGGTAAAAGAGTGTGGGAGGCGTTTCTGAGTCCACTCAAAAGGCACTCCCATCGGCCACAAGGTAAAAGTGGGTGGGAGGCGTTTCTGAGTCCACTCAAAAGGCACTCCCATCGGCCACAAGGTAAAAGTGGGTGGGAGGCGTTTCTGAGTCCACTCAAAAGGCACTCCCAACGGCCACAAGGTAAAAGTGGGTGGGAGGCGTTTCTGAGTCCACTCAAAAGGCACTCCCAACGGCCACAAGGTAAAAGTGGGTGGGAGGCGTTTCTGAGTCCACTCAAAAGGGACTCCCAACGGCCACAAGGTAAAAGTGGGTGGGAGGCGTTTCTGAGTCCACTCAAAAGGGACTCCCAAAGGCCACAAGGTAAAAGTGGGTGGGAGGTGTTTCTGAGTCCACTCAAAAGGGACTCCCAAAGGCCACAAGGTAAAAGTGGGTGGGAGGTGTTTCTGAGTCCACTCAAAAGGCACTCCCATCGGCCACAAGGTAAAAGAGTGTGGGAGGTGTTTCTGAGTCCACTCAAAAGGCACTCCCATCGGCCACAAGGTAAAAGAGTGTGGGAGGTGTTTCTGAGTCCACTCAAAAGGCACTCCCATCGGCCACAAGGTAAAAGAGTGTGGGAGGTGTTTTTGAGTCCACTCAAAAGGCACTCCCAACGGCCACAAGGTAAAAGAGTGTGGGAGGTGTTTCTGAGTCCACTCAAAAGGCACTCCCATCGGCCACAAGGTAAAAGTGTGTGGGAGGTGTTTCTGAGTCCACTCAAAAGGCACTCCCATCGGCCACAAGGTAAAAGTGGGTGGGAGGTGTTTCTGAGTCAACTCAAAAGGCACTCCCAACGGCCACAAGGTAAAAGTGGGTGGGAGGTGTTTCTGAGTCCACTCAAAAGGCACTCCCAACGGCCACAAGGTAAAAGTGTGTGGGAGGTGTTTCTGAGTCCACTCAAAAGGCACTCCCAACGGCCACAAGGTAAAAGAGTGTGGGAGGTGTTTCTGAGTCCACTCAAAAGGCACTCCCAACGGCCACAAGGTAAAAGAGTGTGGGAGGTGTTTCTGAGTCCACTCAAAAGGCACTCCCAACGGCCACAAGGTAAAAGTGGGTGGGAGGTGTTTCTGAGTCCACTCAAAAGGCACTCCCAACGGCCACAAGGTAAAAGAGTGTGGGAGGTGTTTCTGAGTCCACTCAAAAGGCACTCCCAACGGCCACAAGGTAAAAGTGGGTGGGAGGTGTTTCTGAGTCCACTCAAAAGGCACTCCCAACGGCCGCAAGGTAAAAGAGTGTGGGAGGTGTTTCTGAGTCCACTCAAAAGGCACTCCCAACGGCCACAAGGTAAAAGTGGGTGGGAGGTGTTTCTGAGTCAACTCAAAAGGCACTCCCAACGGCCACAAGGTAAAAGAGTGTGGGAGGTGTTTCTGAGTCCACTCAAAAGGCACTCCCAACGGCCACAAGGTAAAAGTGGGTGGGAGGTGTTTCTGAGTCCACTCAAAAGGCACCCCAACGGCCGCAAGGTAAAAGAGTGTGGGAGGTGTTTCTGAGTCCACTCAAAAGGCACTCCCATCGGCCACAAGGTAAAAGTGTGGGAGCTTCCTGAGAATCAACACAGTAGGAGTGCCGTGTTTCCAACACCTTGCCTCTCACTGCCTTTGCAAACGTGCCTCCCCTGTCTATCCCTCCCCTAGCGACGCCAGTATCTGACCAATCACAGTGCAAGTCCTACTCTGCCTGCGTGCCATGGCTCAAATTTCATATTCGGCATCTCAAG